TGTTCTCCTATGGGAGTCTCCTCACTTAAATTGCCGGCCGCCTTGCAGAGTCAAGCTCCGGAAAACCTGAGTTTTTCAGTCCTTGTCACTCTGTTCTTAGGTCCCTGTTCAGGAGCCACCTGCATAGACCAGCTCCACAAAACTGCTAAACCTCAGAGAAGTGGATGAAGAGATTAAGGGAAACACAGAGAAAGACATAAGAAAGACATGGAAACCAAAGTTGGGATCAGATGGTCCACTGACCACTGGTGGCAGACAAGTGATGCAGTTTTATTTCTGAGCATGCTTATATACATGGGCTCATAATGATGTCACTTCCAGGCCGATCTCATATCTGGTGTTGTCACTTCCACTTCTGGTGATCTCACTTCTGGTAATATCACTTCCTGGTAACTGGGTCTGGTGATGTCACTTCTGAGGTGACATCACTTTTGGCCCTCCACAATAGCTTTTCAAGTTAGTGTTTTCATTTTCTTCAGATAAATACCCAGAATTGGGATTGCTGGATCATATGGTAGCTCTATTTTTAATTTTTTGAGGAACCTCATGTTCTTTTCCATAGTGACTGCACCAATTTACATTTCTACCAACAGTGTACAAGGATTCCCTTTTCTCCACATCCTCACCTACACTTGTTATTTCTTGTCTTTTTCATAATTGCCATGCTAACAGGTGTGAGGTGATAGATCATTGTGGACTGACTGCTGATTTTATCTTAATTACTGTTACTTCCTTTTGATCTAGCTTTTTAAATTGAAAGCTCTTTTACTTTGAATATTTCTAGATTTCTAATAAATGCAGTTAAGGCCACAAACTCCTCTGTCACCATGTCCCCCAGGTTTTTTCCCTCAATATTTTATTATGGTAATTTTCAATCATATAGAAATTTTCAGTGAATACCCATATACCCAACATTTAGCTTCTACAGTTTTTTACATTTTGCTGTATTTGCCTTATCACATATCTGTCCACTCATCAGTCCATTTTATTTTTTGATGCAGAGTAGTTTGCACTTCAGTTCACCCCTGTGTACTTCAGCATGCATGTAATTTACCAGTTTGATATTTCTTTATGATTTTTTAAAGATAAATTTTACTTACACTGAAAAACAAAAATCATGTGTTTCATTGGATGAGTTTTGACAACTAACATAACAAAAGATACAGAATACTGAATAATATTCCATTTTAAGTATATTCCACATTTTGGTTTATCAGTTCATCAGCAGATAGATGTTGGAGTTGTTTTTATCATTTTTTTTGCTATTGTATATATTCTTGTACAAATTTTTCTTCAAATACCCCTTTTCAATTATTTTGGGCACATACCTGTGAGTGGAATAGCTGGGTAGCATGGTAATTCTGTTTAATGTGTTGAGGAACTGCCAAATTTTTCCACAGTGGCTACACCATTTTATATTCCCACCAGCAATGTATGGGGGTTCCAATTTGTCCACATTCTTGCCATTTTCCCTTTTTAAATGATAGCCATCCTAGTAAAGGTAAAGCAGATTATTATTCAGTCATAAAAAGGAAGAAGTACTGATACATGTTAGAACATGGATGAACCTTGAAAACATTATATTAAGTGAAGGAAGCCAGACACAGAAGGCCACTTATTACATTGATATGAAATGTTCAGAATAGGCAAATCCTTAGAGATAGAAAGAAGAATTGTGATTGTCAGAGGCTGTAGAGAGTTGAGAATAGGGAGTGTCTGCTTAATGGGTAAGACATTTCTTTATGTGGTGATGAAAATGTTCTGGAATTAGTGGTAATGGTTGCAAAACTTTGTATATACTACAGAGCATCAAATTGTACACTTTAAAAGGGTGAATTTTATGATATGTGAATTGTACCTCAATAAAAAAAAACAAGGTATGTAATTTTAGGCCTGGAGTTGAGATTGGATATTTAAATTTGTTAACATTTTCTCTCTCCTATTTTTGGCAGCATGTAGCATGTAGAGTCACCATTGTGCAGTTTGTTGATTGAAAAGGCACACAGCCAAGTGTGTGAGTGGGGACTGAAATTAACCCATACAGTGCTCTCTAACTTATGTTCTCTAGCACAGTGCTGCCCCAGCCCAGAGGAAGAAACACCATTCTACCATTTTGTAATTCAGCTACTCAGAGGAGACATACTACTTCGATTTGTCTTCTTGGAGAGAGCACCTTTTAATACTTTGCTTAAAGATTCTGTATGTTTTAGTTGAGATCCTAGTACAACAGATACTACTTTCCCACCCTGGAATTTGGGCCATCTCAGGTTTTTTACTTTAACTGGGTCTAATAACGAGTTATAAAAAATACCCCCATAATTCCTCTCAGATTTGTTGACTGTAACTTACTGCCTGGTATACTTTCTATGTCAGGGTTCTTTAGTTGCAGGCAACAGAAATTGATTCTGAGTAATTTAAGCAAAAACGGATTTTTGGAAGGATCTGGAGTTGCTTAAAACCAAATGAAGTGCTGAAAAACAAGGCCTCAAGGAGGTTAGAACTAAGGAAGTTTGGGGCATTTGGATTGTCCCTTTACAGTCTCCACGTAGGTTTAAAAATTGAAACACAGAGAAACTGATTATTCCACTAAGAGGGATGGGGATCTTTTGTCAGAACGAAGATTGGTGAAAGAATTCTGAACAAATCAAACGCTAGCTACTAAATGAGGTAAGAAAAAGGTGTATGTCAATATCCATGTGAAGATGCTGAGTAAGACTTCAGATATATAAATCTAAATCTCAGAGACAAGGGCTAGAGTAGGATGAACAATTAGGAGTTGTAAGGATGACTGAAATAGTGGGCATGGTTGAGATTGCCCAGGAAGAATGAGTAGCCATGTACCCCTCCAGCTCCATTGGAGGGCAGGAATGCTTACTGGAGTAATTGGTAACTGGAGGATTGTTTGTGTTTTTTGGAGGACTCCTTACTAGTGACTGAAAAGAGTCCAGGTTTTGGGAATACAACAGTGTGCTGGGAACATTCTATCTCAGAGGAATGAAGTTATTATGTGGAGACTTTAATGGAATGTAACTTCTTCCTGTCAGTCATAATAAATGACATCCTATTTTTTTCTCACACTTATTATTTATATTGCACTTGGTTCTATGCTAACTGTATTATGTATGCCATCTTATTTAATCCTCACAATAAGTTACGAAGTAGTTATTGTCCCCATGTTTTACACATGAGTTGCTGTAGTCTCAGAGAGTTTTTTTACTCAAGGTCATATTGCTAGAGAGCAGTGGCAATATGATTTAAGGAAGGTCTATCTGATTTCAAAGATATTTCTACTGTATATCAAATGAAACAGTAATGCCAGTATAGGCTATAGTTAATGATTATTGAGCCCTTACTGTGTATCATGTAGTATACTGAATACTTTATGTAGATGATCACATTTAATCCTCATAATAACCTTATAAGGAAGTACTGTTACTATCCCTATTTAACAGTTAAGGAATCTGAGGTTCAGAGATGTTAATTCCCTGTGTGCTTCACCAGTACACTCTACATCAAAAACAAGTAAGTCTTTAAACAGGGGCTTCCTTCCCTGACTGCATATTAGAATCACCTGGGGAGCTTTTTATAAGAAAATCAATGCCAAACCTCATCATCAAAGATTCTGATTTAATTTATCAGGAATATGTTGGACTTTTTTGAAAGCTTTTATTCATTCAACTTATTCAATAAATATTTAATGACTATCTTCTCTATGCCAAACACTTTCTAGGCATTTATTTTCTAACAAGACATATCAGTTAGCTGTTACACAACAGTATATAATAACCACCACAAAATCTTAATGGCATGAAAAATTAAAAATTTATTAAGCACTTATTCTCATAGATCTGGAGACCAGTTGTGATTCAGCTGATTAGGCAGAGGGCTCTGTTGGGCAACTCTGATTCAGGCTGAGGTGACTCTACTTTTCTTCCTGCAGGACTGTGAATAAATGGGTATGGCTCTGTTTCATGTATTTATCATCCTTGGACCAGTGGGGCTTATTTCTCTCATGGCTTATCTTGTGCCAAGGGCAAAATCATGAGAGGGCACATGTGCAACTGTGCAAGCACATTTCAAGCCCCTGTTTGAGTCACATCTATGTACACTCTATTATAAACTAAAGCAAGTATGAAGGCTGAGCTCAAAGACAAGAGGTGGGAAAATAAGCTCCACTTTTTAAAATGGACCTGCAGTTTATGGTAAAGTCTGAGATTTGGGGCTAGTAATTCAATTTAGGTGGGAAAGACTGAAAATGAACAATAAGCATAATACATAAGAAAATTATCAAATGTGTTAGAAAGTAATAAGTAATATTGCAAGAAAGAAAAAAATACTGTGGGGTGTGGTGTTAAGGTGATTCTAATGTGCAGCCAGGGCTGAGAACCACTGATCTTACAATGTTCAAGTTGGAAAGAAACCTAGGCTGGCATTCCCTCAGCCATTTTGAAAACAATAAAACAGATCCAGAGAATAGAAGAATCTTACCTAAGGTGCATAGGTAGATAGTTATAGAAGTGCAGCTAAAGCCTAGCTCTCCTAACCCTCTAGACTGTTCTTCTTATACCACAGTATTTCAATCTATCATCTTAGAATTCACCTTTGCCAATAGCACAAAAAATACATTGTGGAAGGGCACAGTTATTCTTTCTTACCCTGACCCTAAACATTAGAGGTATACTCCCTAAATTCAGTGCTTCCCTTAGTATCCCACTCAGAGCCCAATTTAACATACCCCACATTTGAACTATACAAAAGTTTGCGACATTCTATCCTTAGTTTTTTTCTCTTCAAGCTGAAGACTTTTGGTTTTGGTGTATCCTCATGTGCTCCCCTAGTCTCACCCCAGCAATCTACTTGGTTATTGGGCCTTCTGTCTTCCCCAACTCTGTAATGCCTAGAGTGAGTAGTCTTTCTTGAGTTGCTTTTTTACGCTGGGCTTCCACTAGGCCTTACAGTCATCATTCCTGTTTTGGATTACCGTCTTCTTGATTTGCCAGGATGAATAGTCAGAAGAAAAGAAAAGATATGGAACCTGCTTGTACCTGGAGTTTATTGTCTCAGCAGAAAGGTGAGTAACTCAGTGAGGTAAGAGAAGCTATAATATAGGCAATCCTGTTCATTCTCTTTCCCCTGCTTCTTCTCATAGACTTTGGGATTCTTCAAATCTTTAAAATTGTGTTGCATGTGTACAGGTGTATATCTATTAAGATATTATATGGATACAGTATTTACCCATTAATAGTCTTTTGGAAAATGTCTCTACAATTTTTGAGTTTCCCAAAATGAGGTAAAAGAAAGAAAGGAGAAGAGGCAATTGTGGTTTCTATTATTTTCCATAGTTCCCAAAGCATTTATAATCCTAAAAGACTCTTGAGTGTTTCCCTCTTTCCCATTAGTGTAGCACAGATTTTCATGGGAGATAGCACAAAAGAGTAGAGTGAAGATTGCTGGAGTCCATCCCCTTGTGGCTGATTCCTGAACTCCAAGGAATGTTTAGTTATGGAGAATAGAAGCTGGTTACCTGCATCGGACCACTCACTTGCCTGCCCATTTCTGTGACATTCTAATATCTGCTTCTGCAGACTCTGCTTCCTCCCAACCATCTAGTCACACCTTTTCCCAACTATAAGTCTCACTCTTGCATTAAAGGAGTGCAAGTACTAAAAACCTATAGGAATGTGGAGGGTTGTGTATGTGTGTGTGTATATGCACACTTGTGTATTTTTTTTCTGTATACCTATATATGTTAATATTTGCATTAAGTGTGTGTATGTATTTGAATGTAGGTCATTATATATATATCTGTCAAACTAACATCAGCAACACCTTATTCTTGTTAACAAATTAGGCTCAACAAAAGCTCCAACAAAAGCAATTAGCTAATGTTCAATGGAAAGCAAAATATCAGAAACAGTCATCACTTCAAATAATGTATGCTCCTTTAAGTTCATGCCTAAAATTTTCCTTTTGATCATATAAATGTAAACGTTCACACCCTAAATATAGCTGTGTGGGAAGTTTTTACATTTTACTGTATGTTGGCCATTAGCTATAAAATACACTGTGGGTAAGCGATGTGAAGTGCCTTTCTTCATTGTATTTCTGTTTTGGAAACAGCGTGAATGGCTATAGCAGTCTGACTAAATTTCTGTGTATTTCATGTTTTGGTATGAAGGTTTATTTGTGCTACTCCTAATGCCAGCTCTTTTCCTCACACAGCTGCTTCAAATTCTCAGGCTTCAATGTCATGGAAAGAGCTTAAAGGTAGATATCTTTTGTTTCACTCTTTTTCTGTTTTAGGAGTAGTGCCTCCCACGAACCTGGCCTCCCATGTTCCCAACCTGGGTGAGTGCTCATCCCCACTCCTCTTCCATTTCTTTCCCTATGTTCACTGGGCAACAAGCATTGATTTTTTTGGGTAATATCTATGAAGCCCCAAACTGTCATAACAAATGGGACTTTTAAATCATATAGAATACATATTCAAATACTGGGAGGACACTGATGGTGGTGGTCAAGCACCAGATATTCAGAATCTTATGGCTAGAATAGATCACTTTGCTTCTTGAATGATCTAGATGGAGGTCAACAAGTTGTAGCTAGCAGATCAAATTCAGCCAGATGCCTGTTGTTGTAAATAAACTTTTACTGTAACCAGCAATGCCCAATCGTATTCTCTATAGCTGCTTTCCCACTAAGATGGCAGAGTTGAGTATTGAAACAGCAGCCTGAAAGCTTAAACTATTTACGGCATTTTACAGAAGTTTGCACTTACCGAGATCAGCATTCCCCAGACTGAGTTGTATAGGACACTGTTCTCCAAGAGTTAATAACTTTGCTTTTAGAAAAGGGTTTGTAATCATTTGAGACCAGAAAGTGCTGACTGAACAAAGTTAAACAGCTTTTCTTAAACTGTAGGTCATCTCAGAGCCTTTCATATGCTAATATGCATTGAGAAACTAAAAAGTGATGGAGGGTGCATTTCCCTTAACTTTTGACCACAGGACACCTTTTTCACAGCTCTCCTATTAATATCTTGCAAATAGTGTTCTAAGGAGCACTTGCTTGGGAAATGATAGCTTAGACAGTCACTTAACAGAAATTTGAATTTGATAACTGACCCCTTAGATTATTTTTTCTAGTTGCAGATGAAAATCTGTGTAGTAAAGTGTTTAAGCACATGGACTATGGCTTCAGGCAAACCTAAATCTTAATTAAATCTCTGCCACTTACTAGCTCTTGAACACTGGACAAGCTACCTGATGCTATAAGCAGGACTGGCTACATGATGTATGGACTGCAGTGCAAAATGAAAAGGCAGAACCCCTTTTTCAAAAATTAAGAATTTCAAGATATCAACAGCAGAGCATTAGACCAAGCATGGGTCCTTCTGTGCATGAGACCTGTGCACAGATTGCATATCCACAAACTTACAATCCTGGTTATAGGTTTCAGTTTCCTCAACTGTAAAATGTGGATAATACCTGTTGAATGAGGTTATTGTGAAAATTCCATCAGAATTGTATTAAAGGACCTAGTATAGTATCTGACATAGAATAGGCAGTACTAAATGACTTGTTTTTAATTCGAAAGCATTTATAGCCATATTCAGTAAATATTTATTGAGTGTCTACTTTGTGCCAGGCACCATGGTAGGTACTTAAGGGTACTATGGTGAAGAAGACAGATAATGTCCCTGTCTTTATGGAGACTATTGTTTGGTAGGAAAGAAAGGTAATGAACAAAATAAACAGTTAAGATAATTGTAAATTGTGATAAGTGCTGTAAAGGGAAATTGGGGTGCTGGGAAAGGGAATAATAGAGGGGATCTACTTTAAACTGGGTGGTCAGGCAACTCCTCTTCTAGGTGGTAATGTTTAAGTTGAGAACTGAAGGATGAAAAGGAACTTTGCAAAGGAAGAGCAGATGGAAGAGTGTTCCAGGCATTGAATAACTAGTGGAGAGACAGTGAAGTAGGAAAGAACATGGCATTTGTGAGAAACTGAAAGTGAGCCTGTGTGGCTTTAGTGTAGGGACTGAGAAGGAGAGTGCTATAAAATGAGGGTGGGGAGGGGAGGTTGGTAGGGTTCAGACTGTGACACTCCTTGAAGGAAGGCAAGGATTTTGGATTTTATACCAAGTGCAATGAAAAGCTCTTGAAAGGTTTTAGGCAGGGCAGTGACATGATGCTTAGTACTTTTAGAAGAGCATGTTAGAGCATGTGGAGGGGAGCCATAGATGGGCAAGAGTAGATGAGTAGGAGGCTATTACAGCAGTCCAGAAAAGAGGTGAAAGTGCCCTGTACTTGGGTGGTATTTGAGGCTATAGTTATAAATAAGTGGATTGGAGCTTTATTTTGGAGGTATAAATGATATGTCTTGCTAATCAATTGGACGTGGAGGAGTCAAGGAAAAAAATAAATAAAGAATGGCTCCTGACATTTTTCTGAGCAACTGATGGCAGCATTTAACTGAGATGAGATGTCTGGGGAGGGTTTTTTGGGGTGAGCAGAGTGGCAAAGAAATCAAGGGCTCAGGTTTAGGCATGTAATGTTTGGGGAGCCTTTGAGACATCCAAGTGGAGATTTAGTGATGGTGGTATTAGTTATAGTTGTTGTATTATTGTCTAGGATTCTGTGATTACTAACTCTTGGTGTCACCTCATTAGATTACCGGGAAGTATTTAGAAACCATCTAAAAGAAAAATACCTAAAAATAGGAGTTGATAAATGTTATCACCATGGCAAGCATATAGAGTCACGACTACTTATTGTAAAAGAACACGGTATATCAGAAAAGACTCCATGTGGAATTCCTCAACAAGATAATTTTATTAAGATAGAAGATGTATTTGATCCTGACGAAGAGGGCTCCAATTTATCCCAAACTGTGGTGCTTCAGGGATGTGCTGGGATTGGAAAAACAGCTGTGGTACACAAGTTCATGTTTGATTGGGCAGCGGGAATGGTTACTCCAGGGAGGTTTGACTGTCTCATCTACATAAACTGCAGAGAAATAAGCCATACTGCTAACCTTAGTGCTGCTGACCTGATCACTAACACTTTTGAAGATATAGATGGACCAATCCTGGATGTTATTCTTGCATATCCAGAGAAGCTTCTGTTCATTCTTGATGGATTTCCTGAGCTTCAGTATCCTGTAGGTGACCAGGAAGAGGTTCTTAGTGCTAACCCTCAAGAGAAGAAGCCAGTAGAGACCCTCTTATGTAGTTTTGTGAGGAAAAAACTATTCCCTGAATCCTCCCTGCTGATAACTGCCCGCCCAACGACCATGAAGAAACTCCACTCTATGTTAAACCAATGTATCCAGGCAGAGATCCTCTGGTTTACAGATGCTGAAAAGAGAGCATATTTCTTGAGTCAGTTTTCAGGTGCTAATACAGCAATGAGACTCTTTTATGGTCTGCGAGAAAATGAAAGCCTTGACATTATGTCTTCTCTTCCCATCATCTCCTGGATGATCTGCAGTGTCCTGCAGTCACAGAGAGATGGTGACAGGACTCTTATAAGGTCACTTCAGACCATGACTGATGTGTATCTGTTCTACTTTTCCAAGTGCCTCACAACCCTTACAGGCATCTCGATGTGGAAGGCACAAAGTTGCCTGTGGGGCCTTTGCTCTTTGGCTGCAGAGGGACTACAGAACCAGCAGGTCCTATTTGAAGTCAGAGACCTCAGAAGACATGGAATAGGAGTGTGTGATACCAACTGCACTTTTCTCAGTCACTTTTTGAAAAAAGCTAAAGGAAGTGTCAATGTCTATACTTTCCTTCACTTCAGTTTCCAAGAGTTCTTGACTGCTGTATTCTATGCCTTGAAGAATAATAGCAGCTGGATGTTTTTTGATCAAGTGGGAAAAACATGGCAAGAAATATTCCAACAGTATGGAAAAGGGTTTTCATCATTAACGATACAGTTCTTATTTGGCCTCTTACGTAAAGAAAAGGGAAAGGCCGTGGAAACTACTTTCGGAAAAAGAGTCTCTTCAGGGCTTCGAGAGGAGTTATTGAAGTGGACTGAGAAAGAAATAAAGGATAAATCTTCTAGGTTACAGATTGAGCCAATGGACTTGTTTCACTGTTTGTATGAGATTCAGGAAGAAGAATATGCAAAAAGGATAATTGATGATTTACAGTCAGTTATACTGCTTCAACCTACCTACACAAAAATGGACATTCTGGCTATGTCCTTCTGTATAAAAAGCAGTCACAGTCACCTGTCAGTGTCTCTGAAGTGTCAACACCTGCTTGGATTTGAGGAAGAAGAGCGAGCCTCAGTATTCATGACACCAGCCTTGACACTTAATCGGTGAGTATATTAATGTCCTTTCTGTTGTGTTTTGGCCTTCAGGAACATTAGGCCTTCTTGTTTATTTCAAGTAGTCAGGCACATGATCATTTCTAGCATTGTCAATAATAAAATGAATCATCTTTGATTTCCATATTTTATGTCAGTCAACACAATGAGGACTTTTTGAATATCTACTACATATTGAACACTGGCCTCGGTAGACACTAAGGGAAATTCAACAGTTCTGAGTGCTTATGTGCCAGAAACTGCTGGCCACTATAGGTGTGTGTGTGTGTGTGTGTGTGTGTGTGTGTGTGTGTGTGTGTGTGTGTGTGTGTGTGTGTGTGTGTGTGTGTGTGTGTATGAGTCTTATCAGTCTTGTCACGCTGAGAATGTGCTGTTTTATTAAGTGTTATGAGTACATACATCATCAAGATTATCATTGAGGACTCTACTATTTTGGTGTTGGTGACTATTCTGGAAAAGATTGCAAATTTAACATTGAATTGTCAGTTTTCTCTACAAATATGTCATCATTGAGGTCTCAGAGAGCTCCATTTTAGTAAGGGGCACCCTGCTGTGTATAAAGTGTATATTGCTGTGATGCCTGGGCTCTTTCCTCCAGACTTATACCTTCACATGGTATCAAGAGCTGGAGTTCAAAGAGGCTTAGGTAAACCACTTTTATATGGACTCTTTATGCTACAAAATACAGTTCTAGTGACTTACTGACTAAAGCAGCCAAGAAGACTTTATTATCTAGAAAATGCCACTGGTCATAAGTCTGTTATCAGTACTTGGTTTAAGATGGACAGTACCTCTCCCTTAGTTGTGGGGCTAGCTGAGGGGCAGGGGCCTTGAGCAAATGACAGTGGGGTCTACTTAGAGTTAGTTAACCTGAGTCTTTTCCCTGATAGTTGTATTTCCTCAGTGAACAGTATCATAGAGGTAGAAATGAACATAGTGTATATGTGTTTGAGGTGAGTGGGAAGAGGATGGGAGGTAGAGCAAGAGTTTGTGTTTGAGACTAGAGGGGAAGGCGTAGGAGAGGTTACATGGACTTGGAATTATGAATGATCTTGGCTGCAATGTCTTGATGAATTCATTATAAAGTAAATAATGGACAAATAAATTGAGAGATTTTAAATACTCATGGAAATAAAAGGGGCTTCTGGTTCATTCTAGGTGTTCAGAAAATCAGCCTTAGATGGAATCCCCATTCCCAACCCTATTTATTGCCTTTTTTACAGGGCTTAAACTCTCTTCAAAATTAACCCCAAATACTCCTTTATCAAGCATGTTGACTAAGTAAGAGTTTGCTATTGAACTTTCCTAGTTCTCAACTATTGCTGCTAATTCTTCTATTAGTACTGACAGCTAAGAATCAGTTATATTGTAAAGATAGCTTGGGCAAGTCACTTGACCTCTCTGAGCATCTGCAAAATGGTGCTTACAATACCTGTCACTGGGTTAAGGACCAGGTAAAACAATGTGTGTTGTATGTAAAGTGCTTACCGTAGTGCCTGATACACAGTAACGTGGCTTTGGCTTTGCAGACAGACCTGAGCACTGATCTCCATTCTTTTCCTACCTCTGTGACTGAGCAATTGCTTAACGTTTTTGTGCCTTAATTTTCTTAAATGCAAAATGGGGTAATAACCTCTTCAGGCTTTTGGAAGACGTAAATGAGCCCTAGTATGGTTAACAGAAGCCAAAATAAGACTTTTACTTAAAATTTTGTTCTTAGTTATGTTGTTTTTCATTATTTTTGCTTTCTCATCTCTTTTAGGTCCTTCCAGCTTCGCCATTTGCCAGTGTCTCGGATACACTTGCTCTGCCAAGCACTGCGTAATCCATACTGTAAAATCAAAGACCTGAAGTAAGTTGAACTTTGCTTTAAACTCCTGGGTATTTGAAGGTAAAGACTGGGTTGCTAGAAATTGTACTGCCAGCTGATCAGACTTGAAAACAAAGTATAATTAGTGCTCGGCTTCTCTATAGCAGAACAACAAATGAAAAGATATGCTGAGCCTAGAAGAGGGAGGGAGTCAGATGGAGATTCCTGTCAGCCCCTCCTGCTTCTTCCCCTTTTGTACGTGCTGTTTTTGCTGTAGGGAGTGGGTGGCAGGCTGGAACACCTAAGAGATTGTGTCTGGTGCCCTTCCCCTCCTGGACCTATTCCCATTCCTTTTCCTTCCAGATTCCCATTGTCCTTCCCCCTTGGTTTTCTTCTAGTTGGGTCCTATCCCACTTCATGATCTTGATCCTTTGCTCTCTCTCCAGTCCCCAGCCCTCCCTCCCAAAGTTATTCCCCAAAGTGCTGTTGCTCAGAAGCCTCCACCCCCACCCTGAACTTCTGTCCTTGCTCACTCTCAGGAGCCTTGTCTACATGTCTGTGCACATCACGAACATAGACATGAGCCCCCTTAGTTTCCCACCTCCTTCTCCACACAGATCAGTGTCTGTTCTTCCCTCCTATCCCAGAGGAAAAGGTGGCCTTTCCAAACCACTTAAGCCAGTAGTACTCACTTCCTTTAATTTTTTTGTTTTCGTGAGCTATTAATTATTTTATTTTACACAACACAGAAGTATATAAAGATATAAAATCTCTCCACTCTATTGCTCCACCCTTCTCCAGCCTATGCCCCTACACCCTACTCCCACTCCCCATCTCATGACCCTGACCCTATTCTCTCTAGGTAATACCTTGTTTGCTAATTGTCTTTTCAGACTTTTTTGTTTACTCAAACATAAATCTATAACATAAAGCACACATAAATGTATAAAAATACATAGCATACATATATACTTAAAGAACTTTTGGGGTTTCCAGAAAGTGTATTTGGCCCTGTCTTATTTTTTTTTATTGAATAGTACAGTAGACATGCCTCAAATACAGTATGCAGGATTTTACATTCTACATATCATATGCAGGATTACATACATATTACATATCATTCTTTTATATTTTTCTTGTGTTTTCAAGCTTTTTTCAGCTGTCTTTTTACCATGGCTCAAGTTTCTTCTATATTCAAAAGAACCCTTTTCCCAGCTGTGTATCCCACCTCACTCCTTTCCTTTACAGCCAAGAGTCCCTGAAGAAGAGCCTCCTCACTACCTGCACTTCCTTGCTTCCTGTTCACTCTCCAGTCCTTATAGTTTAGCTTCTGCCCCCCTTCCCCCACATATGCTCAAAGATCAAAAGGGAATGCTAGACCCTGTGAACACTTTTTACCTATCTTAGGGAACCCGTGCAGCCCGTGATACTGCTCACCATTCTACCCTTGCAACTGTCTCCCCTGTTCTGACTACTCCTAAGTACCTCGTTGCCTCCATGGTTCCCAACCAGGGGCGAGTTTGCCTTCCAGGGGACATGTGGCACTATCTGGAGACATTTCTGGTTGTCACAACTGCTGGCAGGGGGGAGTTGCTGCTGGTACCTAGTGCTGAGGTTGGGAAACCCTGCCCCAGAAGGCCAGAAGGGTATAATCAAGCCTAAGGACGATTCTGACAAGTGCAGGCTAGGGATTTTGCTCCCCGTCTTGATGGCTGCCCATACTTGCCCCAACAGGAGACAGCCCAGAGTCACATAAAGCTGCTGCAGAGATGTGCCAAAGACGGCTTTAGTCTCTAGGTCCACGGTCCCCAGGTGATGTCCAGGGCTCCTCTAATTGTTACAGTCTATCCAGATGTAACTGTTTCCCATCCTCCCGCCTGCAGGTTAAACCATACACATTATAAGCTTAGTCATGAGGAGGGAGATGCAGACCATCCCTCTCGCCCTCTGGAAATTCATTTTCCACTAGGATATGTTCTGTTCCACGTTTCTGAATTTACTGGGGGCTTTGTAACCAGATTTCCCTCCCACCATTATCCCAGTGATGGGTTGGGGGAGAGAATCCCTCAGGATGGCATCATTCCGTGGTGGGTGGTCTAGACCAGTGAACCCTCAAGGCACTGTCAGTTGCTGACTCACCTGCTTGGCAGTGACATGAGTTCCCTGTTCAGATCTGACTGTCCTCAGTTTTGTCCACTGGGACTGGAGAGGGTTCTCCTGTCATGGGTCTGAACAGCCATAGCAGTCCTCGCCTGCAGCTGGTACTGGTGTCCTCTGTATACAGTCCTGGGGGATTCCCTTGCGGGGGACAAATCTCTGCCATGTTGTAAGCCAAGGGTAATCCCAAGCCTGTTTTGATTGTTTCTCTTGCCATAACTCACTCAGAATTTGAGTGAGCTTCCTGTCCGTTCATTCCTGGAGACTCTTAGGATGCAGGAACTCCCACTACCCGCCACTCCCTGATCACCTCCCCCAGCCAGTTTCAACATTTTGTTTGGTCTCTGGTTTGCAACTGCTCTTCTGGTGCCAACTTCTGACTTGGAAATAATCTGGTTGCCCAGAGCAAGAGCCCACGCAAGTTAGCTTAAAGAAAAGTGGATCTATGTCAAGTGGATTTTCACACAGCACAATTTCAGGAAATGGAAAAGTGGACAGGCTGCAACTCTCTCTATCTTTGGGATTGCAGGAGTAACTCTCTTCTGTGACCTGGGACCTCATACTGCCATTCTTGTAAAGAAACTTGGCTTCTGTAAAGCACCCAGTTCTGCTCCCACACAGCTAGGGCCAGGCCTCAGCTGTGGCCTCCATGTCCATGGCCCTGACCTTGGCCTCAACTCCAAATGACCCACTGCTTCCTTGCCCAACACAATCCTGACTATGGAATCTGCCTCTCTGTTCATATTCTCTAGTGTGAGAATATGTTTGGCTCAGGATGGCTCAAATGTCCACTCCTACTCCAATCTTCTATGGCCCAGGTGGGGGAAGGGGGTGGGTTCTCATACACATGGCTGCCTGGGTCCACCAGATGTTAGGGTTGGGGGTAGAGAGAGACACACACAGAGGCTGCAGCACTTTTGGAGTGCCCAGTGTTAATGCTCTGGAACACAAAGGGGGTCAATCTATATCCTCCCCACCTCCCATCCCACCCTCATCCCACTCCCCTAGCCCCATTTCCCACTCATCCCCTCCCCCAACTCCACCCAGTCCCCTCCCCCCATTTTCTCCCTCCCTCTGAATATTGATTTTCCATTGGGGTATGTTTCTGTTCTATTTCACATTTCTGAACTCACTGGGGGCTTTGCAGCCAGATTTCCTTCCCACAGTGGAAGCAAATTTCCCTCTGTGAAAAATGTATGGCTTTACACCAAGGGCAGTCCCAGTTTCTGGGCCTGCGAAATCTTGGAGGTCTTCTCTGCTGATAGGGAGCGAAGGCACTCCTGTCTCTTTGGGGTTCTTGAGGTTCATATCCCTGGGCCCCCATATAAGCCCATAAGTTAACTTCAGAAGGCCCCCAGCCGGGAGCTGCCTGAGATGGAGCTCCTACTGTGAACATGGCTGCTGATGTAGATTGTGTGGGTTGTGTGGGTGCTGGTGGGAAGAAGGATAAGGGGCGGGAGTATGAGCATGTGAATGAGGCAGGGAACTGGACAGAAGTGGGTGCTGCTGAGGCTGTGGACCCCTGCATTATCGTCCCAGAGGAATAAAACCTCGCTGTTTCCACTGACCTGAGATCTCCCTCCCTCTGCCTGCCAGAGGTGTGAATGTTCTGCTCTACAGCTCCTGGAAGCTGGGCGGAGTCCCCAGCAGGCTCCTTTGTGGTCTCTGCCCTCTCAGCATCCTTCAGTTTTCCTCTTCCTTTGGCACCAGCAGTGGTAACAGTAGCAGCAGCTGTCCCCGCCTGGTCTTCCTTCTCACCTGCTCCTTCTGTCCCGGCCCCACTGGTGCTGGCAAGGCCTGGCTCCTCTGTGACCTGTGTCTGGGCAGCCTGCAGGTTCTGGGGAAGTGGGCATGGTTGAGACCCGCTCTGGGAACAGAGGGGTTTGGGGTCCGCGTTGGGGTAATCTTACCACCCACTGGATCTTCCACCTCAGGAGATCACGTTCTCTCTGCAACAATGCCACCTTGGCCTGGCGCAGCCGCAGCCAGAAGGCCGACTCCATGCGCTCCCTCTCCAGCTGCTCCATGAGGTCCTTCAGCTTTGACTCCAAGGACATCGCGGCTGACTTGTGCATGTTGGCGAAGTCATGAAGCCACTGCACCCTCTGCCTGAATAACTGGTCCTGACTGTAGGCGAAGCGCATGCCCAAGGCCAGGCTACTCCAGACGCAGGCCTCTTTGGCCTCGCTGGGCACCGTGCTGTCCTCCAGAATGGCCTTGAGCTTGCCCTCCACCTCCTCCCAGGACAGGGATGCATTCGCGAGGAAGAACTCGGGGCCTTTGGCGTGCCCCGCCATCTTCTCATTGATGAAGGCCGCCACTGTGCTGTGCTGGAACCCACTCCTGGGGTCCTTGGGGATCATGGCCATGATGGCTGAGGGCTTTAGGGGCTTCACTAGCCCTGCAGGTACAAATCAACCAGTTGTCCCACTCCCCTGCTGCTTAGCCCCTCCCCTCTACCTTGGTCTCCTTATATCCAGTGTTCCTCTCCCTCCCCCTCAGACCCTCATAAAGTCTCCCTGATACTTTACCCCATCCTAGTACACCTCCCAGCACCGACCCTGGTACACCTCCCACTAGGCCTCACCTGTTCAACTGGGGCCAGAGGACGCCAGCCAACTACACTCGCCTACCACGTCCAGAGAGAGCGAGCACCTCTCTCCCTTCTAGGGCTCTGAGGAAAGGAAGTCTCAGGGCCAGCACTGGATACTTTCACCCTAGGACTGTTCCAACTTCCAGAGACAGCAGGGGTGGGAGGGAATGTGCAACAAAGTCTCTCTCCCTCAGGACAGAAGGGAACTCGCTACACTACTATAAGTCCTTGAAGGTGGGAAGAAACAGGAGGGGTCAGAAAAGACTTCAAACCAAGAACATGAAACACTTGTAATCACATACAAAATGCCCTACACCCCCACCATAATAGTTTGTTCTATGGCAGGGGGGCCCTCCCCTCCTAAATATTGAATGTTCTGGAACAGGAAACAATCCCAATCCCTCTGACATCAGGCACCCCCTGGAGGAAGAGGGTGGAGCCAGAAAACAGCCTCATTCCCCCATTGGCCCAGGACTGAACACTGTAGTCACCCTAAATGGTCATAAATCCTGGCTGTGTCCACCCCCAAAACTGTCTTGAATCTGTCCACCTCCACCCGAACCCCCACTGCATCATCCTAATCCAGCTACTCTCAGCACCCATTTCTTTCCTGGACCACTCAGCCCTCTGCCATTAGGTCTGTCTCCTGCCCTATCCTGTCATCAGAGGGATCTTACCATGTCTCTTTCCTCCTCCAGTGGCATTCTGAGGTCTACACAATAAACTGGACCGACCTCAGGTTGATTCTACTTTGCCACTTACTAAATGACCTTGAGCTATAACTGAATCCCAGTTTCTTCCCATGGGCCTATGATAAGGACTGAAGAAGAATGTGTATGTAAGGTTGATGTAATGTTTTCTATGATCCCATTTTTGTGCAATGTACAAACCAGACATTTTGTATGTGTGTATGTGTGTGTTTTTGCATGTGTCCCTATGATCTTGGAGAAAGGAGTTGGGGGGGATATACACCAGACTTTTAACATTGGTTATCTTTTGGAGTTGGAGGGGAGGGGGGAGGTTGGGAGAAAGTTTTTATTTTTCTAAAATACAGCTTTACAGGATTTCATTGGTTACAAAGATATTTAACTCTTTGTGTATGCATGCCTTAAAAATATGGAAAGTTATATACCAGTATTTTAACTGTGGTTGTCTTTGGGTGGTAAGAATATAGTACTTGAAAAAAAAACTTTATCCTTCATAATTTTCTCTATTGCAAAAACTATTTGTAATAAGCATGTATTCTGTTTTCCAAATTAAAAAAAAACTTCTTTTCTGATAACTTTTGATCAGTGTAAATAATTTTTAAATACCTAGAAAGTAAATGTTTCCCTATAATCCCACCAATCCCCGAGTCTGGAAGGTAACCACTGTTAATAGTTTGATATGTATCCTTCCAGTCTTTTAAAATAAGCCAGAGCAAATATTTGGCAGTTTTTCAAATGAAGCATTCTCACTCTCGTCTCCTGGCCTTTGCACAGGCTGGTCCATGGTCCATGAGTGGATTGTCCCTCAGCACGCTCGCTCTCCCATTCCCATTCTTCCCATCCACCTAATTCCTGTTCAATTTCTATTCCCTTTTCACAACAACACTCAAGTATTTCTCCCTCTTACAAGCATTTCTTGATCCTCCAAACCCCACCCCAGACTAGGCTGAATTGTGCCACCTTTCTGTGTTCCCATGATTGATATATGCATACCCATTGCAGTACTTTTAACACTGTATTATAATCCATGATTTTCTGGGCATTCCTTGAGGACAGATTCTAGGTTTTAATTATTTCTGTGTTTTCAGCACCTAGCACAGTGACAAGCACCCAATAAATGTTGAATGGCTTGCAAGAACTCTTTACATTAATAAGGTGCAAACATGTACCTTCTAAGACAGTCCTGTTTTCTTTTCTTCTCTGAAATGTCTTTTTCTTCACACAGACTGATTTTCTGCCGCCTTACAGCTTCTTGTGGCAGGGACCTCTCCTTAATATTTGAAACCAACCGGTATCTGACAGATTTGGAATTTGTAAAAAATACCCTGGAAGATTCAGGAATGAAATTTCTGTGTGAAGGATTAAAACAGCCAAACTGTATTTTACAGACATTGAGGTAACTGATAGGAGGAGAATGTGTTGTTTCTGTTCATATAATTTTTTTGTCACTATCTCATGTGTAGGGGGAGAGCATGAATCGGGTAATGAGGCTATTCTTCTGTTCTCTGAAGGCTGTACCGATGCCTTATCTCTCCTGCTTCTTGTGAAGCACTAGCTGCTGTTCTCAGCACCAGTCAGTGGCTCACCAATCTGGAATTTCGTGAAACAAAACTAGAAGATTCAGCTTTTAAACTGCTCTGTGAAGGCTTGAAACATCCAAATTGCAAGTTACAGAAGCTCAAGTAAGTTGTATTGTTAGTTTCCACAATTCAAGAAAAATTTTAAAAATATGCAACTCAAGATGGATATTATATGATTAAAACAATTTTTGAGGAGTCATGGAGAAGAATAAAAGTAGCAGTCCCTAAAATTGTTCTTAGGTAACAAGTTTAGGAAGAGAATTTTCATTATAAGTGGCAATAACATCAATGACAATAATAATCCACAATTATTTAGCAATTTGTGCTAAGCATTGTGTATTTTAAATGCTTTGTATACATGATTTCCTTTAATGTTCACAACAGCTCTGAGAGGTTCGGATTATTATCCCCATTTTAGCACATGAAGAAATGGAACCCAAGGTCATAAGACTAAATAACATGTCAAAGGTACAATTCAGATGTGTGTGAGTTCAAAGTCCATGGTAATGACCTTCATAAAAAATGTATCATATGTATTAGTCAGGGTTCTTCAGGTAAACAGGCCAGTAAATAATTAGTTAGGATTATCCAGAGAAACAGAACCAATAAGATGTGTATAAATACAGAGACTTATTTTCAGCAATTGGCTCGTGAGGATTATGGCAGCTGTCAAGTTCATTATCTTCAGGGTAGGCTGGCAGGCTGGAGACACAGGGAAGAGCTGATGTTGTTGCAGTTTAAGTCCAAAGGCAGTCTGCTGGCAGAATTCCATCTTCTGGGGAGTTCAGTCTTTCTCTATTAAACATTTCAACTGATTGAATGAGGCTCACCCACATTATGAAGGGTAATTTACTCAAAGTCTACTGATTTAATCTCATCTAGAAGGGACCTTAATAGAAACATCTAGAACAATGTTTGACCAAATATCTGGGTACCATGACCTAGGTAACTTGACACATAAAATTAACCATCACAGCATGTACGTGGGGCTTTCAAAAGCAAAATCTCTTCAGCATTAAGGCTTTCTAAAATCCACTTTGAACCTCATTTTTTTTTTGCAAAATTCCTCTATTTAAAATTTCTAAATTGGGAAGATAAAGATACGTGTCCTTATGAACCCTCTTCAAGACTGAGTTTGGAGCCTGGTAACTCAAACGAAAATTGAAGACTCAAAGGTTGTAGTGTATATCATAGAAATTCTTGAAAGTGATGGAAGAAAAAGTTTGATGGGAAATGGTTCAAGGAATTGGACTACTTAATATGGAGAAACAAAGATTGAGAAGACAGGAAGGTCAGTAAAAACCGCTCTTTGTGCCAAAGAAGGAATATTATATGGATGATGGTGGTGGGCTGAATCTCTCTTAGGATAGAAAATTAATTGATAATGAACTTTGAGATAAGAGAAAAGAAAAGCTACTTTGACTATAAATTTTATTAAGGATGATTATAGCATTTTCCCCTGGAATTTGAAAGAAGATATGAGATAGAGTGCTAAATTCATGCAGGGAATTGAAATGAGATTGGATCATCTTGATACTTCCTCCCAGCCTTTTTCTTTTTGGGCACTCAGTATTTACTGAGTTCCAGTAGGTTATACAGTGTTGTAGGAGCAATGTACAAGTCTCTTCCATAGGGGAAAGGGGACTGTAACATATTCAAGATTGGCATTCTTTTATAGGTAGGCCTTTATTTACTCTGCTCCTAGGTATTGTGGGTAGTGGGTGAGTAGGATGATAAAGTGGCCAATTTTGTCTGTTCATCTTTTTTTCTCTCCAGGTTGTGTGCCAGCTTTCTCCCTGAAAGCTCAGAGACTGTTTGCAAGTACCTTGCCTCTGTTCTCATTTGCAATCCAAACCTCACTGAGTTGGACCTGAGTGAAAATCCCCTGAGGGACATAGGAGTGAAATATCTTTGTGAGGGTCTCAGACATTCCAACTGTAAAGTGGAGAAATTAGAGTAAGTTTCTAGAACTATCTGGCATCATCTTATGACTGTTTTACTTGTTGGTTGCCTGCTACATGTCAGGATCTATGCTTGGTGCTTGCCAGAAGTTACTTAACTTAATTCACTCCTTAAAATAATGATATGTGGTGGGTTTTCTTACCCCACCATACAGAGGAAACTAAGCATCAGGGGAAACGTGATTTGTCCAAGGTCAGAGTACTTAAAAAGTGGTATGGTAAGGTTGTAACTACAGAATCTGTCTCCAGATCTCATGCTTTTTCCAGTATACTACTGTCCTGTGTGTTTATGTACAAAGAATACCTACTATGCACCCAACACTGGGCTACATGTGGGTGGAGCTATCAGAAGGACTACAGGTGACAAGGCTGCCCTTAAGGACACACAGATACAAAACAATTGGAAAGGAACACAATTTAGTGTGTAGTCAGCACCCAACACTTTGGAATCATTCAGATATGCCAGCTGAGTCCAGAGAAAGGGAGGTCATAGGGGCTGGGGATCTCAGGAGGAGCCTCTGTGAAGGAGGTGGGCCAGGAGCTGGAACTTGAAGGATGGCTAGTACTTAGCTAAATGGGAAGGCTGGGAAAACATTCCCAGGAAGCTAAATGACAGCAGTGGCTGATTTTTCTTCTTTTTCTTGGTATAGCTTGAGCACATGTTACCTCACAGATGCTAGCTGTGTGGAACTGTCTTCTTTCTTGCAAGTGAGTCAGACTTTAAAAGAGCTGTTTGTATTTGCCAATGCCCTGGGGGACACAGGAGTACAGCATCTCTGTGCGGGTCTGCGGCATGCGAAGGGTGTAATCGAGAATCTTGTGTAAGTGTCTGCTTATCCTTGTCCTTCTCATGGGCCTTGACATTTGAGGTTCAGTGGGACCTCCCTGCTACCCTGGTTAACAGCCACCTTGATGTCCCCATCCCTCCAGGCTTTCCGAATGTTCCCTTTCTGCAGCTTGTTGTGAGTCCCTCACCCAAGTCCTAAGCTCCACCTGGAGCCTGACAAGGCTGCTTCTAATTAATAACAAAATTGAAGATTTGGGACTGAAATTGCTGTGTGAAGGATTAAAACAGCCTGGCTGTCAGTTAAAGGATCTGGCGTAAGTATCGTGGACTGTAGCCACAGGCAGAGTTTCCCAATGTTTGAGCAGCTCCCAAAATTAAATGAGTAGTTTTTGGCATGGTGATTTAATCTCCAAGGAAGCAATAAATGAAAATTCCCCCCAATTTAGGGGTAATAAAGCTTTCCCTGTCCACAATCTCTCCTTGGCCCTGGCGCAAGGAATTTTTTGTCACATGATACTCTGATTTTCTAATGTGTTTTTCTAGTGGGCAAACACAATTCCTAAAGTGACCCAGTGCAAATGAAACTATGCCAGCCTTCTCTACCTTACTTCCTGGCAGATTGTGGTCCTGTCACTTGACTGGAGAGTGTTGTCAGGATTTGTGTAATGCACTCTACACCAATGAACACCTGAGAGACCTCGACCTCAGTGATAATGCCCTGGGGGATGAAGGCATGCAGGTGCTGTGTGAAGGGCTGAAATACCCATCCTGCAAACTACAGACCTTGTGGTAAGTGCACAGAGACTCTTTGTCCACTGGGTTTTTGTTTCATGCTCTATATGAAATGGAGGATCATTATAAAATTGGGGTAAAACTGATTTTTTTCTCTAATTTCCAACCCCTCATAGGTTAGCAGAGTGTCATCTCACAGATGCATGCTGTGGAGCCCTTGCCTCTGTCCTAAACAGAAATGAGAACCTAACATTGCTAGACTTAAGTGGAAATGACCTCAAGGATTTTGGAGTGCAGATGCTGTGTGATGCACTGATGCATCCAATATGTAAACTACAGACGTTCTAGTAAGTTACTATGATGGGGGAAGTGGGAGGGAAGAGTTCAGGACAGGCATGTTGAGTTTGATTATAGTGAAAAAGAAAAACAGGGCAGGCCATGCCTTCACAAAATTTCAGAGTAAGTGAAATTACTAATAGGCTTCTTCCTTGGACACAGGGGCAGGGAGAGAAGCAGAAAAGAGGCAGCATTAGATCTCATTGCTAAGAGAAGCAGCATAGTGTAGGAAAAAAGAGCATCACGTCTAGATTCTGCTAGGTCTCACTTAAATAGTAGAACTAGGATCTTCCAGCTCCATGACTGTACTTACTTAACCTCCCTGAACTTTTAGTGTCCTTGTCTGTAAAATGGAGCTAATGCTAGTATCTGATTATTTGTTGTTAGCATGGAGAGTGAATGAAGGGAGATGTTAATTATGAATTACCTAGTACAACACTTGGCATATAGGAGGTAATCTGTAAAGGTTAGACCCTTTCCCTTTCTTCTTCTAATACCTGTTAGAGGGCTTTATGTTTATATTTGAGTCTTCAAGACTCAAGGGGATGAAGTTAAAATGATGCAATTATAGGGAATGGAGGTCTTGACCTTTTCTGGTCAATGTCCATCTGCCAGCTCAGCAGGCTGGCATGACACACAGTCATTCTTAATTAGGATACATCTATGCTCTGTTGGCAGCTCACCAGTGGCCAAATGGCCATTCATTTCTGGCATTCAGAATGAACACATAATGGAAAATAAAGTCTGAGTGCAAAAATTCTACATTACAAAGCCAATTTGATGGATTGAAGCATAAATTAAAATAAGATAAAGGCCTGATTGCAAGTTTGGCTGAAACAGAAGCTCATTCTCTACTAGCAAAGTGATATCTGTTAGTTTCAAATGTTTGCGAGTGTGGTGATTATTGCCCAGGAGGAGAGAATTATTCCTAACATAGTAAACCCTCAGGGCCTCTATGGTGTCTTTCTCAGAAAGAAGAGACTGAAATCTCTATTGTCAATAGAATGAAATAAACTCAATGATAAATCCCAATGTTTCTTTAAATATAGAGTAATTTAATGTGGTAGCACTCTATAGTGCATATGCTTTAGCAAAGGTCCTAAATGACAGCAAGGAGAAATTATTTTATGATGGCATTCCATTACCTGGGTTTTTTTTGTAAATTTTTGCACCATTTCCTGTTTCTCTCCCTCTTTGTTTTTTAACCAGTGTGTTACCATTGTGTTTTCAGGCCAACTTTCAAACCTTTATAATTTTGTCAATCAGCATGTTAATAGCAGTGTGCAGTTATAGCTTAGAATACAAAATAAAGGGCACACCCACACAAAATAGACACTATTCACTAAGTAAAAATAGATTTTGAATGCTAGAGGACATATAAGACAAATAACACTGATATCAATAGAAATATATACTTAACCCAAGTAAGGTGAGAGGAAATTATGGATCATTTCATGTGGTGGTAAGCTAGAGAAAAGGGGGTAAATCCAGGAGAGTGTTCTAAAAGGGGAAGTTTTTTCTGGAAATTGGAAAGGCTGAGGGAAGAAGGTTTTTTTGAAGAGCTGCTTGAGTGTGGGGTCTGAATCTTATCCCTAATTGCATTTTCCTTTGTAAACTTCCTGGCTCAGTGCTTTGCATATAGTAAATACATATAGGACATCAGTTAGTAATTTAGAGCATCTGAGGGCAAGGCAAGGAGACAGTTAATGATATGTTCAATAGAGACCAGGTGTCTAGGTATTAAGAAAGTCAAGGAGAAAAAAGACATTGTGGCCTCAGAGTGACAGAGCTCACCTTCATTCATTCCACAAGCACTTGCGAAATATCTGCTGTATGCTAGGCAAATGTCCCAGGTGCTGGGAGACAAGGATGAATAAAACAAAAGATATGATCGGTTTTTCAGGGGCTAGTGGTAGAGACAGGCACATAAGCTGATGAATACAATAGGTAATCATGAGGTCTTAAGGGAGTCATGCCAGGGGAGAACTCATCCAGCCCAAGAGGGTCAGGGAAAGCTTCTTGGAGGAAGGGCCACCTAAGTTGAAGCCAAGGCCTATAGCCGGGTAAAAGGGGGTAGGAATGGATAAGGGTGGTCCAGGCTCAGGAGATAGCATGGGCAAAGATATCCAGGCATTAAGCAGCATGATTTAAAATACTTGAAAAGTGAGCGTAAAGTGCAAGGCAGAATGCGTCAAGAAATTAGACTGAGTGGGTAGGAAAGGCCTTGTACGCCATGTGTGATTTAGTTAGACCTGTTAGAAGAATTCTGGGTACAAATTCAGTTGCTTCCTTTCACATATTCTAGTAGTAGTACATTTTGGGGCCTCTCCTCACCTTTCCTAAACTGGTCCCAAAGATGGAGCTGGTTTTGTTTCCAAAACCGGTTGGAGAATCAGTCTGCTCCTGGTGACTGGATGGTGGTCCCCTGGTTGGTCTGGATCCCTGTCAGTCCTGCAGTGCTACTATACTTGGGCTGCAGATATTTTAGGTTACAGATATCTTAGTTCACACCCAAACGTATAGCCACTGTTCTCTAAAGTACCTCATGTGTCAGGGTGACTGGGTCTAGAGGAGCTACTTGAATCAGCCACAGGTATAAATATGTGAAACTTGTCCTTGCCCATAAAGATAAAGGCCTCTGAGTTGAGTCAGGGATCCCACTTAAGCCTTCTTTTTTTTTTTCAAGATAATTTTATTTTATGGACCTTGATGCCTTTTCCAGGTACTTGGCCTTGGATTAAACCCCCTTAGCTTACCCTGATACATGTTCCTAATTCTAAATTTGGAAAGAAGGGGTTGAGAATAACTGGTCTTTTAACTCCCAGAAGACCTCTGGGCTTCCTAAGCATATTGGTTCACTCCTTCCCTAGCAGCTTTGCTAAGTCACTCAGAAATTCTAAAGGTCTTTTTACACTTCCATGGCATTAAATGCCTACTTACCCTGTAGTTGTACAACTAGCAGGGCTACTCATTTCACTTTGCTAGATAAAAATTAGCTTCTATCCATTGAAAACTAAAATCTATACCTCACTACAGTTGAAAGAGCTTGTTTGTAGTGAGTGAATTTTAATCAGGGTCACACATGTGGAGTTTGAAGTACCTGTAGGACATAGTGGGAAGTTTTCTTATAGGTAGACAGTTGGATATAGAAGTGTGCCCTGGAGGTGATTGCTGAAGCCATGACAATGGATGAGATCCTCTAGGGAGAATGAGAAGAAAAAAACCTCTGAAGAACATCTCTAGGGAATTAGCCCTGGCCCATACCAACTTTTAAGAGGTGAATATGGAAGGGAAATCCCATGGAGAAAACCAGGAAAGAAAGGTATCCTGGAAGCTATGGGAAAATTGAGTTTGAAAAAAGAAGTGCTCAACAGTTTCAAATGCAGAGGAGAGGCTCAAAAGGATGGGTACTGAAAAGTGCCCATTAGATTGAGCGATTAGGAGGCCATAGATGACTTTGTCAAAGGCTGTTTTAGTGGTGTGGTTGGGTAGAAACCAGATGTCAGTGACTTGAAGTGATGGGAGATAAAGAAGTAGAGAAGGAGTGGAGACTACTTTTTCAAGAAGTTTGTGTGAAGGAGAAGAGCTGTGGGGTCATAACTGAGTGTCGTTGTGGGACTGCAGGAAAGAGGGAATTGTTCTTTTTCATTTTTGCCTTCTTGTAGGCTGAACGAAGGAAGATGTTATAGATAACAGGAGCGGGAGCTAATGGACTAAAGGCGCAGGTCCTTGGACAAAGGCAAGGAGGGATAGGAGTGAGAGTCCATGAGGAAGATAAGCATTTTCTCTTTTGAGATCTAAGAAAAGTAGCTGGGGCTGAAGGAAGAGGTAGATGGCCAAATAGGTGAAGTAACTGAGTGGTATCATGGAGCAAGTATGAATGGGATTCTGATCCTTGATAATAGGAAAGCTATTTGTTGGCTTGACTTGACATAAGATTCTTTTCATTTTTCATAGCATTGACACGGATCATTTACACGAAGAGACATTCAGAAAGATGGAAGCTTTAAAAATGAGCAAGCCTGGAATCACCTGGTAGTTTCCAAGGAGAGCCCCCAAATCAGCTGCATATAGACCTAGCACCTCTTTAACAGTTGTGCAGTATTCTTGTTCTAACTAAACATGTTAACCTTTGATGAGGATGTTAGTGTGATAGCTGTCTCTTACACAGAACCATCTACTAAGTAGGATGTAAAAGGTGGAAGCACCTTAGTTCAAATGTCTTCAGCAATAGTGCTTATATTCTTATGTTATGTTTACTATGTTTTCACAATAACCCTTGAAGGTGGGAAGATGAGGCTCAGAGAGGTTGTGAGTAGCTCGAGGTTATATACAGTTCATTAATGGGAGAGTTAGGACTGGAATCCAGCCAGATTTCTCAAATTTCTCAATACCCAGACCAGGGCAGGGAAACAGTAGAAAAAAATACTTGTGAATAAGTCTATTTAAAAAAAATACTTGAAATGACTAAAGGACAAGAGGGTATACAAACACGTCTTATGGTGCTGATTTTGAGTAAAGCTACAGTTCACAAAAGAAAGAGAGGAATGTGTTGGATTAATAGGGAAAGGCTTCATGGAGGTGAGACTTGATGTGGACCTTTAGAGTGAGTACAGTTGAGATGGGGAGATACACTGGCCAGTGGCTGTAAGACTGAAGACAACAGGGCTGTGTTTGTGAGCAGCTCACCAAGAGCACCTTAGGGAGAGAGAAATGTTTGCTTTAGTTTCTTGAGCTGGGACAGTATCCATGTCCTAGTCCCCAGGCTCAGTTCCCTTTCTGAACTTTTAATATCTACCCCATGTGTGTGTTCTTGTTTGTGGATTCCTATGGCTGACTCACTTCTCATCCCTGACAGCATATTGTATATAGGCTAACATGGATCCTGCACAACCTCATGTTTCTATCTCTGCCCAGCTTCCATAAAACAACAGATAAGACAAATGGAGAAAGGAATGCGAAGCAAGGAAAATAGCACAAAGTCAGTGAAATCAGAGCGAATGTGGTGTGGGACCAACAGAAAAGTAGGCTGACCTGATTATAGTGTAGAGTTGTCTCTGAAAGCCACTTGACTAGCTGTGACCCTGAATAAGTCACTTGGATTCCTGGAGCCTAAGTTTTCTCATCTATAATAAAATGGGGATAAACTGACATTATCCTTGCAGGGCTGTTGTTCCCAATATGGTGCCTACCTCACAGTAGGTACTGATTAATGGTAGCTATTTGTATGAGTGTGTACCTATAACTCAGCTGTGTAGTCTTTGAGCTCCTAAATTTTCTTGCTGTGTGGTTAAGTGAACTGTGCATTTGAACTAAATGTGTGTGCTGAAGGCAGTGAGTCTAGTGGGAAAGAGACTTGCAGTGGGAAATTATTGCAAGCAAGAGGTTCACTTGATTCCTGTCCTCATCGATCATTGTCAGTTGTTCCCTGCTGCCTTAGGAGATGGCAACTCTCAGGCAGGAGACCAGGTCTGGCATGGGAAGAATAGTCAAGAAAGTAGTTTCTTTCTAGTTTTCTCAAGTTATTCTATCCCTTTTTTTATTTAACACTTATTTATTGAGCATTTATTGTCTGCTGGGTTTTGTGTTAAGTGTTGCCCTTTCAGAGATTAATATGCTTTTTCCTTTGCACTTACCCTGCCATGTTCTCTGACTGCCCTAATCCCTCTTCAGTCTGGTAAAGATACATGTTAAATGAAAAATTGCAGAACTGTGTGTGTGTGTGTACCTGTGTATCCTATTTGTGTACAAAAGGATAAATATGCATGTGTATGTATATATGTCCAAAATACTTACGTAATTATATATACAAGAAATTGCCAACATAATTTGTCTCCAGCAAGAGGAATTTGGCAACAATGGGCAATGGGAGAAGAGGAAAAGATCATTTTCATCTATAGCCCTCTATTCTACTTGATGTTTTTTTACTATGTGCATGTATTACTTTTATAAATTAGTGAACTTCATGTTAAAAATAAAATTCATTCATACCAAGGAGTTATTTTTCTTCTTTTAAAACATGACAATTTAGAAGAAAATACAGAGCAGGCATTTGTAAGCATGACATAAAAACCCAAAAGAAAAGAATGAAAGATTTAATAAGCTCTAAATTAAAAATCTCTTTATTAAAAAACCCTTCATAAATAAAATTGAAAGATTAGTGATAAACTAGAAGAACCTATTTGGCATACTTTAAAGGCTAATAGCCATAATACAAATAAATCACTGTGAAAAACAAAACATGGAGGACTTCTAATTCTAGCAGTGATGAAGTAACAGTGAGTGAATTACTCTCCCATGTTAAGGACTCAAAAAATGGGCAAAGTATATGAAATGACAATTTCCAGACGTTGGATAAAAGACAGAGTTGGAACAAATAAAGACAAATATCAAGATGGTAGCTTTGAACACAACCATATCAATAGTATTAAGGTTAATTGTCTCATAGCAACCCAATTAAAAGACTGAGATTGGTAGAATGAAAACAATCTTTTTAAAGACCCAGCCATAAACTTGTTTAGCCTGTAGGAAACCCACTTTAAAAATAAAAACAGAGGTTAAACAAAAATAGGGAAAAGATACATCACATTAGCATTTTTTAAAAACTATGACTTAAAAAGATTTATAAAGGAGTGACTATTATTATCCAAAAAAGTAGATTGCAAAACAAAGAATATTACCAGAATTAAGCAGGGCTATTTCATAATAAAATGGTTAATTCGTCATAAAGACATAGCAATCCTAAATATATATGCACCTAAATAAAAAATTCAAAATACATGAAGCAAAAACCGAACAAGGAGAAATTGACAAATCCACAGTATTAGAGACTTGAACACCTTTCTCAATAATCGATAGACCAAGGAAACATAAAATAATACAGAAGATTTGAATAACACAAGTAATAAATTTATAAAATAAGATAAAATTGACATCTGTACAAGACTCAATCCAACAACAGAAAACGTTCTTTACAAGTACACATTAAACTTTTACCAAGATAGACCCTATCTGGCTCTTATAAAAAATCTCAATAAAATTAAAGGATTTACATCATAAAAGTTTTATTCTCTGACCACAATGGAGTTGAATTAAATCAGGAAAAGAAAGTTAAATGGAAAATCCAAATATTTGGAAAATTAATAACACACTTCTAATTTGTGGTCCAAGAGTAACTTTTGAGGGAACTTAGAAAATATTTTAAACTGAGTGAAAATGAAAACACAAGACATATAAATTTCTGCACTATAGCTAATTCAGTGTTGAGTGGGAAATTTATAGCACTAATCAGCTCTATTAGAAAAGAAGGGTCTTAATGACAGCTTCCACAATAAACTAAAAAAAGATCAAATTTAATTCAAAGAAGACTAAATAAACAAAATAGAAAATAATAAAAGCAAAATACATGTGTGATTCCATTTTTTAAAAAACTAGAAAACTCAAAAGTATTCTATAATGACAGCAGATTAGTGGTTACCTAGTGACAAGAGTTGGGAGGTAGGAAAGGAAGTATAAAGGGACACAAAACATTTGTTGGGGGATGGATATGTTCATTATTTTGTTTGTGGTGATTCATTCATACTCATCAAATTGTACTTAAATTTGTCTAGCTTACTGTATGTGAATTATACCTCAACAGAACTGTAAACGCATGTACACATACATCAGAGCCATTTAAGAACACCAGCTGTCTAACCTCCATTTCTACCGATAAGTAACCTGGGTTCCAAAAAAGCCAAGGCTACATAGCCAATTCATGACAATACTGGGATTGGAATTTAAATGTCCTTATTGCTGGTCTGTTCTTAGTATACCAAAGTCAGAGAGTTCAGATCAAAGGAATAAATTGCAAATGATGGGTTTTCAGTCTTTTGTGGTATACCAGTGAGAAAGAGGCATGTACGTGCATCATGAAAAGGGGTGACTTTCCCAGGATTCTTTCGGTGATGTGCTGGAACTAATACTGACTTGTGAAAGCATGATTTGTCTCCAGCAAGAGGAATTTGGCAAGAAAGCAGTTTCTTTCTAGTTTCTTTCTAGTTGTCTGGTTTGGGTATTGGTAATGTTGGCTTCATTAAATAGATTTGGAAGCTTCCTTCCTCTTCTATTTTTTAGGAATTTTGCAAGTTGTTAATACCATTATTAAAAATTAAGTGGTACAGACTTGGAATGAAATTCTATTAAAGGTAATAAACTAAATAAATTACTTCCTAATTATTTAACTACATTTTACCATTATCTGTGTTCTTGAGGTTATTTATATCTGTTGTACCTGTGTGGTGAAAATGTTAAATAATAATGTTTGCACTCTGCATCTCTTCTCTATTACACATTCAATTACATCATACTGGTTGCTTGAAATTGATCATGGTAATAGTGTTTACACCACAGAAATCAGCAAATGCCACTAATCAGGGATCTCCCTCCCCCACAGAGCTGGTTGTTAAACACTTACAATCACATTTCTGCCTTAGAGCATCACTTGCCCTGGAATTAATTTAAGGCTGGCCTGGAAGGCAACCCATCAGTGCCTAGAGTCATGCTGGGCAAATAATGGGCAATCAGTAAAAGTTTGAGGGTAATCAACTATCCCAGTTTGTGCAGAACTCTTGATTCCTGAACATCCCAGGAAACTTATCAGTCCTAGGCAAGCCAGGGTGGATGGTCACCCTAGTGTTTACATACTTTTTTTTAAAAAAAAAAAGGAACCATATGGGTAAATCAACTGAAAGCTATCTCCTTTCTTTGAAAAATAGACCAAATAAGTCGCCTGTGAGGTAACTAGTGGCACATTTGTGCATAAACCCTCACACATTACACAATCTCAGTAATAGTTAGGATGAAACACAGGACCTTACCCATGGTGAGTGCTCAAGAAATGCCCACTGGTGGTATATCCCTAGCGAAAGGCAGGCTGCAATGGGAATGGAAGCTCAAAGATGGTAGAAAGCTAAATAGGTCTACCAGCTAGTGGCTACAGCAGGTGGAAACACACTCAAACTCAGGCAGGAGTTGGGAAAGCCTCAAAAGAGAAAGGATCAAAAAAGTTACTGTCTATTGAGATGACTATAAAGTTTTTATCCTTCCTTTTGTTAATATGGTATATCATATTGATTTACAGATATTGAACCATCCTTGCATCTCTGGTCATGATTAATGATCCTTTTAAAGTATTTTTAATTAGATTTGCTAATATTTTGTTGAAGATACTTACATCTATGTTCATCAGGAGTACTGGTCTGTAATTTTCATTTTTTTGTAGTGTATTTGTCTGGTTTGGGTATTGGTAATGTTGGCTTCATTAAATAGATTTGGAAGCTTCCTTCCTCTTCCTTTTTCTGGAATAGTTTGAGAAGGATAGGTATTAACTCTTCTTTAAATTTTTGGTAGAATTCACCTGTGAAACCATCTGGCCATGGACCTCTGTTTGTTGGGAGATTTTTTATTATGGATTCAATTTTGTTACTAATAATTGTTCTCTCCAGGTTTTCTATTTCTTCCTGGTTCAGTCTTGGATGATTTTGTGTTTCTAGGAATTAATCCATTTCTCCTAGGTTGTCCAGTTTGTTGACATATAACTTTTCATAGTAATCTCTTATAATCCTTTGCATTTCTGTGGTGATAAGTTGTAAGTGATAAGTTTCATTTCTGATTTTATTTCTGCCCTCTCTTTTTTTCTTGCTGAGCCTGGGTAATATTTATCAATTTTGTCTATCTTTTCAAAGAACTAGCTCTTAGTCTCAATGGATGCAGAAAAAGCATGACAAACTCAACATACATTCATGGCAAAAGTGCCCAACAAAGTGGGGATAGAAAGAAAAAGTACCATAACATAATAAAGGCCGTATGTGAAAAACCCACAGCTAACATCATATTCAATGGTGAAAAGCTGAAGGCTTTTCCTCTAAGATTAGGAACAAGACAAGGATGCCCACTGTCACCACTTTAAGTCAGCATAATACTACAAGTCCTAGCCACAGCAATCAGACAAGAAAAAGAAATAAAAAGTATCTAAATTGGTAAGGAAGAAGTAAAATTGTCACTATTTGCAAATGACATGATACTATATATAAAAAACCCTAAAGACTTCACCAAAAAACTATTACATAAATAATAAATATTATATAATAAATGAATTCAATAAAGTTGCAGGATACAAAATCAGACAGAAATTGGCTACATTTCTATATACTAATAACAAACTAGCAGAAAGAGAAATTGAGAAAATAATCCCACTTACAACTGCATCAAAAAGAATAAAATACCCAGAAATAGATTTAGCCAAGAAGGTGGAAGACTTATACTCTGAAAATTATAAGATAGTGATGAAAGAAAGAAGACACAAATGGAAATGTATCTTGTGTTCATGGATTGAAAGAATTGATGTTCAAATGTTCATACTACTAAAATTTATAGATTCAGTGCAATCTCTAGCAAAATACCAATAGCATTTTTTCACAGAACCAGAACAAATTTGTATGGAAATACAAAAGACCCTGAATAGCCAAAGCAATCTTAAGAAAGAAGAAAAAAATACTAGGTATCATGCTCCCTGATGTCAAACTATACTACAAAGCTATAATAATCAAAGCAGTATGGTACTGGCACAAAAGTAGACACATAGGTCAATGGAACAGAATAGCCCAGAAATAAACTCACATTTGTATGTTCAATTTATATATGACAAAGGCAAGAATATACAATGGGGAAAAGGCAGTTTCTTCAATAAATGGTATTGGGAAAACGGCAGCTGCATGCAAGAGAATGAAACTGAACTACTGCCTTACACCATACAAAAATAAACTCAAAATGGATTAAGGCCTAAATATAATACCTGAAATCATAAAACTAGAAGAAAACATACACAGGAAACTCTTGAACATCACCATTAGCATTTTTTTCTGGATATGTCTCCCCAGCAAGGGAAACAAAAGCAAAAATAAGTGGGACTACATCAAACTTAAAAGCTTTGCACAGTGAAGGAAACCACCAACA